CATGATTAATGTAATATATGTAAAATGGTCTGTGAAATGCAACCCGGGTCTTACACAACGATACATTTAACGCTGTGGCTATATGCCCGGCAGCCGGGCACGGTCTTCGATTTCCTAAATGCCCGGCAGTTTCCGAACATAACAAGACAATTTTTAATGCAAAACATAAAGAAATATATTTAATTCAGAACATACACAAAAGTTACAGAACAAATAAATGCAGAAACAAATAAAATACAATGAAAGCAGAGGACGTGTGATATTTTCCACACGACCCAGATTGAGGGATTTTGCATCCGTACACGCTGTGGAACTTGCTGCGCCATCGTCCACATGTGGGCGATGGCGCAGCAAGTTCCACATCGTGTGCGGCGGGCTATACTAATAATAACATGCTCATACTCATATTCTGTGTAGATATTCATAGCAGAAATGAAAAATTGTGATGCACCCATGCACCAGTGCACTGATGAATCATCTCTATAAATTATAATAGATTCTATAATCTTATCCTAATAATAGATGAGGTGTAATGAGTAGTTTTATTTTGCAGACCTGCCAATGTAAATGAGTTTAATGTTGGAGTCTCAAGAGAACGGATACAGAAGATGCAAGACAGCCAACGTGGTCCATTCCTAACCATCATGCTGGACAGAACCCTGAGCCCTGCCATTGCAACTCAGCACCATTTTACGGGATATCGGTTGGGAGCATGGTCACCGCAACATGTGGACCCATTGCATAGGTATAAGTTAATACTATAAAAGCCTTCAAATGGATATAATGCAACTTATTATGATGATAAAGTATATCACGTCTCGCTCTGTCTGTCTCTCTCTCTATTTCTGTCTTTCTCTCTCGCTCTCTCTCTCACTCTCTCTCCCTCTTGTTTTCCCTCGCTCGCACTCTCAGTCTCACCCTCATTGTCTCCCTGTGTGTGCGTGTGTGTACATGCCTGCATGTTAGGCTTTTGTCCTCAGATGGATTTTTGTCCTGGGAAAGAATCTAAGTTAAAAAAATCTGTGTTATTTCTTTATTCGTGCAAATCATCAGTTCAGCACTGTTCAATGTTGCTATCTGTTGCCGAAGACTTTTAAAGACCCCTAAATGTCATTGGTGGATGTTAAGACTCGTAACCAATCATACTCAGTGTATAGAGGTCAGCACAAGCAGATCTATGTGTAATACCGTGGGCCCAACTGTTTAATTTATGGACAAAGAGCAGGGTGTTCCGAATGGCAAACTACTGCAGGATTATGCAGAAACTAGCCTGGTACCCGGCGATCAATCTACGGGTAGAGATTCCGGGATGGAAAGAAGACAGTAATCACCCTGCCACCAGCACTACTCTAGGGTAGCAATACAACATTGTTATGAAATTGCGCCAAGTTATTACAAATATGCCTCATTGGCTTTGCACGCCTCATCTCACCTTTTTGTGAAAATACACGATTTGTGACATTCGTCACGTGTCTCTCTTATCATTGGGATTCGCTTTACATCAAAATAATACATGAAAACTAAACTAACACATAGGTACATAGGTACACTAATACATAGGTAAATAAACTAAACCCGTCAATATAGCACGGTATCAGTTCAGGGTCACTTTCATTGTAAAATAATGAGCAGATTTAAAAAAGTAAATATTTCTCCAAACGTATGGATATCACCTCACTTTAACCAAATTAGTTGGTCAATTTGACAGAGTTCTGCACCAGTGAAGTCACCATAGATGACATTATCAAAAAGATGAATAGCACCTGATTTTAACAAACTTAATTCTTTATACCATGTTATACATTATATCCGAATGTATACAATACACAAACAAATTACAATTTTAAAAATACAAATGAACGAAAATAAACCACTAAAAGTGTGTGTTGTACTGCTTTTGAGATTCAACTGACAACTAAGTGCATATTAAAAAAATCGTATAAATTTGGCATAGTTTAACCTGGTATTACCAAGGTTTTGGCTTTTGTCCGCTAGCTGGCTACATTCGCAGGAAAATCGGCTGTTATACTTTTCTGACATCATCCCACTGCTAGAATTATCGGCCGTATTAAGGCCTATTTATCGTCATTATATCTATAAATATGAATGGATTTGACAAATATGGATAAGCCCATGTTGGTGTCGGACACACGGGCTATACACTGAAGTCAGTGGCGTGGGTTTGATGTTCACCGCGGCGTAGATTACCGCGTAAGAAAATCGGTCTCCCCTCTCTTATAATATAGAAATTTAGAACTAGAAACTAGCATTTTCCTCTACTTTTCAATCGTATGATGACATATATTCATCAGAATTTCTCTATGGAATGTTGTGTGTGTCTGTCTCCAAGACATTTGTGTTTGATGTTTAACTGCCTGGCAATCACTCCGATAGCAGGAAATTGCATCCTCCTAGCAAAACACGGTATCTATATCACCCTGCAGGTGTTATTCAACTCTAGCTTATTTTGAGAAGTTTATTCGGTCCTGGCTACTTTGGGTTGCTAACACCCATGTTTTTTTACTCTTATATATAGTAATCATATATGAATCAAATATGAAACCAACATAAGCAATCATATAATAAGTAAATAACATAAATAATATCTATACACCTTGTGAGGTGACAGAATAAAGGAGTAACTATATACCTTCGCTCTTTGATACTTTTAGGTGTGTACTCGCAACTCTAACGATGGACCACAGACTTTGCATATTTAGCCGTGGTAAAGCAAAGAAATGGGTGCAGGTGATGGAGCCGTCGAAACTGCTTAACGACCACATGGCTGGCAACGACTTTGATACAGCAGACAGTCACATTATCCAGGAACGTCCGAAGGATGTCACCGCTGACCTGTGGCATCTGAAAAACCGAACATACCTACTTGCATCCGTTACTATGGCACGTTGCTCTGCATTGTCACATCATCTTATTTCCATGTTGACGGGATTCCCAAATTATGAGTTTTTATTAGTTAGCAGCTAATCTACCTGCATTGTCACATCATTTGATTCATGGACCAAAGGGATTCCTGTACAACAAACCCTTGTCATTGGCATATTTAATTTTCCTGTTTTTTATCATTCACGAATGGCCGGATAATACCTCATCATTATCATATGATAGCCATCATAATCGTCATCGTCATCATCACCACCATCTTCATCATAATTTTGAAGTTACTGGTTTGATAGTGTCTGTATTTTGTACAATTTATTTCGTATCCAAATTTTTGTTTTATTAGTATGGTATTCTCAAATTTGGACATTCACATAGATTTCAGACGTGTTCCTTGCTAATTGCAGGGATTTACTGTATTATGATTAAAGTGATAATGTTAGGTACCTGCCAATGTGCTCATATTATGCAATAATTATATATAATTATATCTAAAATTCTAATTCATGTCTTTGAAAATGAGAAGTTATATTAACACATTTTGTTATCTGCAGGTATGGTCTCAAGTTATGACACTCAATGAAAATAAATACTGCTTGCTGATAACTGCCCAGAAGTCTGGCCACATTGTGTTTTGGAGAATGTCATTGCCTCTGACTGGTGATGCAGATGCCATGATGTCATCCGTGTATGTGTCCAATCAGGAAATGCCAACCTGCATGTACTGGGAACCTGCATCTACCGGAGCAAATTCAGGCATACTTGCCATTGGAAACACAGAAGGTAGATAGGATATGGAATATATTAGGTGTCATGTATATAAATAAGTATGTAAATAAATAAATATATAAATTTATAATTAGAATAGGCCACATTCAGAGTTCTGTATTACCCCTTCATTACGTTAGGATGCCGATATTAACGATGCTGCTATAATACTATAGCAACAGCAATAACAACTATGCTGTGTACTGCGTGTGTCGTCGACACTCGCTACGTCGCGTTTTCCGTTGCAGGCATCGTCAAAGTGCTGTCCGCGTCGCTGGCGTCCGACGGCGCCGTCGTCGTCTCAAACTTCGGCACGGTCTGGTCGCAGGTCGACCGCATCCCTGTCTCGCAGGTCGCCGTGACGACGCTCGGCGGCCAGGCCGTGCTCGTCGCCGCCAAGGAGATGTTCATCGTCGCCGTCGGTCTCGACCTCGCCGCCGGCGTCGTCAAGCCGACGACGTACTGCTTCATGGGCGCGCACGCGAGCGCCGTGACGGGCATGCACGTGTGCCGCAGCGGTCTCGTCGTCGCCGCGTCCGGCGACAGCGTCTACCAGCAAATCGTGCCGAAGATGGACGAGGTGGCGGGCGGCAGCGACCTGCAGGTCGAGATCGGGCAGCTCGACTTTGGCAGCCGCGCGCACACGACGTCGCACGGGTTGACGGTGTCGCCGAACGGCGTCTTCGTCGTCTTCGTCGAGAGTCCCGCGGGACCGTTCGACCATCTCGTCCTCAAGGAGGCGCTGAAGGTGCACGTGGCGACGCTCGCGACGTCGGTCGACGACGTCGGCGACGTGCTGCTGAACCGCGCCGACGGCCCGCTCACTCACAACCTCGACGCGCTCGAGTACGTGCGGCTGCACGTCATGTCCGGCGAGCCCCTGCCGCTGCCGCTGCAGCAGCTGTGCTGCGCCGACCTCAGCGAGGCGTCGCAGTACACGCTCAAGCTCGTGCGCTACCTGCTGCAGCTGCAAACGACGACAGCGGTCGGCGACGACGACGCCGAGCGCTCGCTGCGCACGCAGGTGGCGCTGCTCAACAACCAGATCGTCTGCCGGCGCTACGAGCAGACGGTGCTGCCGCTGCTCGCGAAGCCCGACGTGCAGTCGCTGCTGCAGATGAACCACGACCTGTGCACGTCGCTGCTGCTCATGGCCACCTGGTGGCTGCAGTGCAACCAGGCGGTGGCGGACAAGAGCATCGCTCAGTGCGCGTTTGAGCTGTGCGCGGTCGTGATGCCCGACGACAGCAACGTCGCTTCGTGGGACGTCTGCGCCGTCTGCAAGGAGGACGTGACGCTGCACAGTCCGACCGAGTCGCTCTGCAACAAGGGTCACAAGACGGCGCGCTGCTGCCAGACGCTGCTGCAGACGCGCAAGATGGACGCCTCGTCGCAGCGCAAGTGCAGCCTGTGCGGTGCCATGTCGATCGAGCCGCAGCCCGGCGCAAACTGGGGCACGCTCCTCGACAGCTACTGCTCCTTCTGCGACGGCATACTCTACACGGGGCTGTAATCGCCCTGCACAAGAGCCACTCGTCTCCCAGCCATGCGTGGTACGAACAGATAGTTTTCTGATGTGGTGTGCAGCAGCAGAGCTTGGTGGTTTTGCGATACTGTGGCCTGTCTACAGTGAGGGTATGTCTGATCATGCACAGCATGACAGCATGCATTCTCAAGCGAAGATAGATTATGGTGTTAGTGTAGAGCGTGTAAAGCATTATGTTGTAGTCGGTCGCGCGAGTAGTATTCTCTCAGGTAGAGTGGTAACACTGCTACCCTGCATTGACCTGTCTTGTTGTGCAGGTCTTAATTGTTGAGAAATTATTTGCCAAGATGATATGTATGTATTTTATATATATAATAAGTAGCAGTGCATTTCACTTTATTACACTTTCCTCCTGTTTGACTTCATCACAGTGAAATTATATGGAAACCCATTTGTACAGTATGTGTTGAACCTTTGTGAATTTCTAATAAAGTACATTTTTATAGAAAATCTGTACAGTGTGTTACTAATACATAATTTATTTTCCATATGAATCTGTATAAATGTATGTGCACTTCATACAACTGGAAAATGGCACTTTAAAATTTACACATGTATCATCCTAAGAGTCGTATAAACAAAGTAACTTAACAAATTGACCTTACTTTGTCTATTCTCACATCTCATTCTGCGATGTTGAATTAAAATGAAAATTTCTACACACATAAAATATATCAATTAAGTTCACAAAACAGTGTTTGTTTTGCACAAAGGAGCCCAAAATATTTACAAGCACAAGTAATGGGGCTCTGGACACAGGGTGTGCTGTTTCATTTCTGATAAAGAATAACACTGGAGCATTAGCAAACGTCTCTGCCATGACTCGGTCATATGACACCATCTGCCGTATAGACTTGACCACGGGTAGATACGTTTCTAACCCATCAGAAAGTGTTCATGTGACTAGGCATATGTTCACTCTTCTGTCCTAAGATTTTGTGAAGGCTTCCATCGGTATGCTTCCGACCTTGCGTAGTTCCAGGAACACCTGCCCAGCACCTTCATAATTCCATGCGTTCTCCTCTAGACACCTGCGTCAACAAAAATATATGTTCACACTTAAATTCTCTAGGATGACCTACATTTAGACAAAAAATAAACACTCATGTTTTCCAGTAAAAAAATCACCATACAGATGTCTCACTTAACGCAGTTCTGAAAGTAGTGTGCTACCAGTCCTTGGATTTCTCTCCTCATGATACTGGTTTTCTCGTTACAATTTACCAACTTTGCACAAAAGACCTGTTTTAATAAATTTGATTATATTCTCTGTCTTTCTTCCCACTCTCTCCTTTTCGGTCAGCCTCCATGCACTTCCTATTAATCTCTTTAGCATATCTCCAACATAAGAAGTGCTGTCAAAAAGTAAGGGGCCTTGACAAGCCCCCTTTGAAGGAAGCGTTTACCTTGGTACATCCCCGACTTGCCCACAGAATTTTTGAGTAAACCGGAAGCAGCACTTGCCTTGCCCTAAAAATTTTCAATGCAACCCGTATGGTTGTAGACATGGCTACCTACTTTGCGGACCACTCAGAGTTCATGCCAGAGTCTTTCATGAACTGCTCCACCATCACCTTCTTCTGTTCGACAGTGAGCGACGAGGGCGAGTTCACAGCAACAAGTGGCGCTCCTGTTACCGGTGACGACGTAAGGCCCGATGGACCCGGCTGGGGGTAGCTGGGACTGGATGAGGGCGTCGGTGTGGGCGATTTAAAAGATGCCTGTCAGCAGAAACACGACACATTGGATGATACAAGTAATAGAGGTACGGTTGCATTATTTCATGAGTGACCCGTCATCGGATATATACCCGACTGTAGCACCGCTAACATTCAGTTACATTAGACATTATATGTTTCATACGATGCAATTACTTCTTTCTATGATAAATTAAGAAAAATTATACATGTGTTTGTTTGCAATAATGACTAGCAATAATGACTAGCCATATTTTTGCTCTCGTGATTAAGGTGATAACGTCAGCCACATATTCTCATCTGTTTTACCACTTTACACAGTGAGCTTGCAATTAAATTGGTATTATATTTATTTCTCATTATTGAACTATTTCTCAATTTCACAGGAACTTGTAGTAAAAGATAAAGCACTTTTTTTTATAAAAATGATTTTTTCACAGGAGGAAATTGTGTTTATCACATGTAAAAGTGTCACTGCACACTCTCAAACATCATAAGTTAATTTTGCAATGGTTTGAATGCTACTGCATTTACTTATATGGATGAAACAAAGACCTGGTATACGCACCTGCACCTGCTCCACTGTTGCATTGTTGATGCACATCTGCTCGTTTACGATACAGAGACTGCAGAGTAAACAAAATCTATTGACGTTTATGAACATTATACAACTTATCTTATAGTCCCGATTTCTTTGCAATAAACAGGTCAATAGGGAATCACCTATCATGCTTACTGTGCCATTTTCAAACAACAAACACGTAAAATTCAATCCAGGGTTCGTTCGTTGTTACTATAACGATTATTAGTATTCTTTCTTTGATTAACAGCAAAGCACGTAAAGATTTCTTTCCCATACCCCTACCACTGCAGGCCTAGGCTACGAGCTGATAGGCCTATACCCTTCACGTCCACCATTCTCACCAGGATGCAATGTTTGTAATTTTCACAGCTGTGGTTCGGACATGTTACAGTTATGGCGTACAACACTTGCACTTACCCGTCGCCTACAGGAACCACGACAAATACCCTTGTGAATGAGCGCACTGGAGGGCTGCTCTTATCACCTGAGAAAAAATAAAAAATCGAGATGACTGTAACATATGAGAATAGATAAGTCAACAACTGTCTCATATGTCAACATTTCAAGATTCTGATCTGTTTTATCTTGATCATAAGAAACCCTGGCAAACTACATTAGGCGCTGATGTCTGGTATATCAGTCTGGATCCACCTGACTTTTCCAACTGAGTACCTGAACTATATGTACATAGTGAAATACCTGATAAAAATACAATAATAATTCATACCTTCTTTAAAAACCCCTGTGACTGTGAATGACAGAAGCTGTGCCTGAAAAACAAACCAAAGTTTATTACCATCGCATTTTATGTATGTAAATTTGATGCACTGATATGATTGGTACCATGATCTGATAGAATTTAATAAAAGCATTGATGAAATTTGATCAACATGTTCAAATCGACCAAACCACACACCTTATCGCACGCATGCGTGCACGCACGCACACATATATATATATTATGTCACAATATCAAATATCTTGCAGGAAACAACACTTATTGTACACACCGAGTAATGATTGATATCTATGCAAAATGATGTGGGGTCATGTTGCGTCTTTGGCAGTGTAGTGAGCATCGATACTACAGCTAACCTTCCACGCTTCAGTAGCTTTGATCTACGTTCTAATGATTAAAAGAATACATGTTAATATCACAATTCATTTTTACGTGAATTATGCACTAAAAATTATATGTTAAATATTATGCTACACTATAAATTTTTCTCCACTATCAACATTAATGCAACTGATTAGAATTGTTGCTTGTATATCCAGTGGGCACCTAATTTGCTTATTTAATGAGAGGTATAGGAATGCCTTGCAGAGATATGATATTGGATATTAACATGCCATTCATAAAAGGTTGTTACATGTTGTAGGCAACCAGCTCCAGTATATCTTTAAGTCAATGGATTACATATACTTACCAAAGCCTTTCACCTTTATCATATTTCTACTCTCTGATAGGTACTCCTGCAGATATGGACCCCTGAACAGATATAATCATCCAGTTGTAATGAGCTTCGATACAGCAACAACAGTAAGAACCATTAAGCTTCGAGTTTGTGTTTTGATTCATTAATAATGGCACCATGTTTTGGCTGGTTTACGTATAATATGCGAAACATGAAGTCCAGGTGGCTTTACATACTAGGGTGTTAGCAAGCTTACGCTTGTTTGCTTTATTACACCAAGAGCCGCAGAGCGTCTGGGCTCATCTGAGGTCTGTTGCTACGGTTATAAACGTAACATTTAAGTTGTTCGTAGTGACACCTTTGTTAGGCGCAGATATGCAGATACGCAGTTGCGTACACATCATTTCAGCAACCTTCTGCATTCTGCATACCTCCCAAATCCCATTGGTTTATACAAATTGCGTGCCTAAAACTCCTGTTTTATGGTGCATTGTGACCCTAACCCTAAACCTATTAAAAAAAAAACTTAATTGTTGTAAAAATTATTTGTTGTTATTAAATTGTTGTAAATAAATCATGTAAATATTTACTTTAATTGGAAAAAATAGTTAAATGGATAAAGATAGAAAAATAGAGAAAACAGGTAAATAATAAAAAATCAGATGGGATTCAATCCAACGACCTTTGAGCCGTGACGCAAGTGCTGTACGCGTTCGGCTATCCAGGCTTATTGGGTTTCTAGATTATGGATGTGCCATGAATATGACAACACTGTGACGTCATTGAGGCAGTTCAGGAATCCATGTTTAACCCTCCTCTTGAGGGTCAAAAGGTTATCAGACACTTACTCTTCGCACGTCAGTGGAAAGCACATTTCATGGTCCTTTCAATAAAGTGATAAAAATGGTAGGTCAGCGCTGAAACAAAAAAGTTTTTCACTCTATCCATTAGGCCATGTCCTCAGAAAATGTCTGATATCTGACCTTTCCCCTACTGCCCTTTGACCTGTGACCTCCAATTTCGCACTGGTGATGGGTTTTCTGCCCATCACACTATACACCGAATATTAAGAGCATAGGTCGAGCCGTTAAGATTTGTGCCGCAATTCCGTATTTCCTCCTATACCTTAAGTTAAGGAGGAAATATTCCCCCTCCGTTTACACATCTTGACCTTTGACCCTTAACCTCCAAATTTGTCATTCTGAGTCCTTTTCATGATCCCCCCCCCCCGACGTCCCGAATTTCGTGACCGTACGTCGAGCGGTTAAGATTTGTGCCCAACTGTTGACGGACGCACGGACGCACGGACGCACCGACGGACGGACAGACGCACGCACGCACGATCATGCGATTCTACAAGCTGCATCTGACTACGTCAGATGAGCTAAAAATCTACCACACTGAAATTGAATTCGGCCACTTTCAGCAAAACACACACGCCTGTTAATCTGATATAGTTCCATCCATACAAATCATATAAAAAAAACCTTGATATTCAGTCTTCCTCTGTATGTTTTTACACCAATGTTCAAACAGAAAAGGAAATAGTCATTAATTTATCAAATATAATATAACGTAGTATAACTCTTTTACGCATTCAATATGTAATATCAGTCGCACACCACTGACATTACGTAGAAATAATTGCAATAGCTCACCTGCTGTTGTCCTTGCGCACAGCAAACATGGAGAAAAAAGCTTGTTCGTGGTAAGCATTCAGCAGCTGCTGCCGGTCATTGGAATCATACACCATAAAGTACCTGAAAGCAATCACAGATGAGTTCCTAACAATTTTGCATGCTTTTCAAGCAATGTGAATTCAACATGCATGCATGATTATCAGATACATGCGTGTTTGAGTATAGGTTACCAGACTGACGCAATGCAGCCATGTATAAGCTGTGTGGTTTCGTGTTAGTTACTGGGTACTTACTCCTGTATGAAGCGAAGTACTAACGTCTTGACAACATCGTTGACAAAGAAGCTTTCCTAAAAATAAAAACCCACGTCAAGTCAAACTGACTCCCAACATTTTGCTGCCAATTGCTAAAACAGCATTTGTTGAATGTATTCCTTCCAATAATTTACACGTCAGGTAAGATCACTAACATGAGCAGATTATAGTACATTCGTATATTTACATCGAACAGAAACAACCCCTGTAAAACCACAGCAGTACCTTACTATATTGAATACAAAATTAAAGAATATATAAAGTGCAATATTTACTGCCTCCTACCTTGGATTTCGGCAGTTCTAAGTGCGTCTCTACATCAAAACCAATGGGTGGGGGAAGATCAAGGCCATCCTTAAATAAAACATAATCATTGATGCTGAGTTCTCAACTTAATATGCTATCAACTAGAGACAGGATATTTCAGGTGGCCTTAGACACCCGTGTAATTAGTCTTGTTCCTGTTGGCAGTACTTATATAGAATTTAACTTCAGCAACACCAGTCACAATTTACAAAAAATTTTGTATGATTAACTCATGAAAACTTATTCATTGTTATACAATATTACAAAATTACAATAGCTAATCAAATGTCTTAAAGAGACTTCAAAAAACAGCAAGCAATCCTAGTGTATGTGATAGTGCCAAGAAACAGCTACTTACCAGCTTGATGACCTTGGGAAATCGTTTTCGAATTGCACTGGAAAAACAACATGGGAATAGACCATCGTAGTTACACAAGAGCTACAGCTGATGCATACATGTGTACTGACACCCCCTTCTAAAAACTGAGACTCGAAATGCAAAACTTCGTAGCTAGCATCATTTAAGATGATGACCAGATAACGATTAGCAAATGAAATTCTTATTAAAAGTTATTCCGACAAGCTGTCCAACATTCAAGAGTAGTCCATCCATCCATCTTCCTATTACACTACAGTGGATCCAAGTGCAGCTAGCAAGCTGTTGTGGTAGCTAGATGCAAGAGTAGGGACAGCCAAAAGTTCAAGTAATTTTCGTACTTTGGCTAGGTCAATAACATGATTGCCCTACATACCCAGTCCACAAATGTTCCAGTCTTTGCAAAAACGCATTAATGCATAGCAGTTAGCCTAATGGTCAGACAGACACAAACAGAGTTTGTCAAAAACAAAGTTGTACACTTACCTCTTTATTATTGTGAAGAAGTAAGCTAATATATAAAAGCTAACTGATAACATATATTAACAGCAAGTCGAAAATAGCTTTGTACATAATATGAGGCACGACTGAATTAGGTGGGTCAACTGAGATTTCTGACATGAATAATCTGTTTATCAACAGTTGCAGGGTTTTGAAACCATTTTCTTGCTTGGTTTATAGATTTCATTTATTGAATTTCACTCAATGTCAGCTCAAGAACAATCACAAGATCTACAGTGAATATCTGATTTTACTAATTTTCAATAAGCGGAGCTATCATTTCTTGTTACACTACAAAATTTGCATAGCGCTTCTCTAATTCCCACAGAAACCCAAACCTAATCCAGCCCACGCCCGACAATCCTTTACCGATATACCCCATTCAGCTATCTGTGAGTCACGCAGTGAGTGTGAGTCACGCAGGAACACCTCTCACATGATGCATTGTCTTACATTATCTTGGGCTCGCATCTGCAACCGGTTATGATGCTAATCATCAAACTCACGTTGTACGGCCTTCGCTCACTGGCCGCCGGACAGAAACGCATGCGTCGTCACGCAAACAATGAGAGCGCAGCCGGAAACAAGCGGCAATACTTTACGGCATGCTCATCATTCGACCCGGTGCGTCCCAGCCGTGGCTGACCCTGGCCGTGCCTTGGTAGGGGGGGTCTCCAACGGAGAACCCCACCCCGTCATGGGCCAGCGACTCAGGTGAGCAGCCATGCCAGACCATGTGTGTGACGTGACAGGTCGGCAATTTGTATGTTGCCATGTTGAGCTGGGTAGGTCACACATTCGCAGCTGTGTAAGAGGGTGAGAACACTCCCTAGGAAATTCCCCACAATTGAGCATCCTGTACTCAACCCCAAGCCATTTTCCCATTATCCTAACAGCCAGGGAAATTTATTTTTCAGGGGCTACTTTTCAAGCTCGCGTGCATGAAAATAGCACTCTAAAATTTGGTTTGCATTGAACTCTATGCAAATTTACGGGCGCTCTTTTTGGCATTTCGGGCGCTAAATCGCCCCGATCCCCGTGTATTTTAGCCCCACTGCTAACAGCTATAAACTACCCTTCCTTTGCATACACAACACAAGATGTTGAGATACTAATGTATCAGATATTCACTGTGATGTTGTGATGATCACAAAGAATAACATTGTTCATTTTCATTGCCAGGCATTTATTTAAGACACCTTTACCATTTTTTGTCACATTTCACTGGCAACAGTAAAATTCAACATATTTAATTAACCACCTGACTAAGCAAATACTGTAAAAACTTCATCATTATACTGAGACTAAACTCACTATCTTTTTATCTCATGACGTCACCTTGCCTCATAGTATATTATGTCCATAGCAGGTTATTTTCCACTTACTTTCATTGAGCATTGTTACAGCGACACAAATAAGACGACGACACCACCACCAGAAGGCTATAATGAGTAGGGGCTAACAAGCCACGAGTTCCTGCTGCTGGGTGCCTACGTCACTGCTGCCATTTGGTCAATCTACTGCATGTCTCTCCCACTTGCGGTGTGCCACACGCAGCGCACGCAGCCATCCGAACCTCGGGGAGTGGGAAGAGCTGCAGTCGGCACACACACACACACACTGCTACCTCACCTGACGTAAGACATTTTGTCCTTGAACTGGCTGCAGAGTGGGTTCCCTTCTAGAATCAGCTCCTGGAGATTGAGATCTTTGATGCGGTCAAGATCATACTCTGAACGTATCTGCATGAGAGGAGATTCAAGTAAAACCTCAGAGTCCGTGGAATGGGAAGAGGAAAGGTTTAAATCAAATGATGAAAAAATGATAAATTTGAACAAAACTACAATGCATCTGTTACTTGATCACGGCCGAGTTCAACTACAATTTCTAAGTCGCTCTTACGCAAACACATAATGCAAACAGGATAGTCACACAAACCACACGTTCATGTACACTTTACATTAATGCAGCCATATGCAATGAGTGAATATGAATTAATGGTTTCGATTTATTTTAATCGGTAACTCTGTTCAAGTATGTAGGTCAACTACTCACATAATTCTTTGACAAGTTTAGGCCTTTCAGTTTTGGAGTCTTAGTATAAAGGGTTGAAATCGAGTCGCAGTTCGGCAGTTTGTTATTAGTGAAATCCAGAGCTACAACCTGTTGAGACAAATTGTTAACAATCATGAAAACATATCTTCATAAAAACAATCCGCTATGCAAATCTGCACAATTAAGATTCTTACACTGCTGAGTGTGCAGGGAATGACAATTTTGTTTTGTGCTTATCAATGTACTTCTTGCTTTGAATCAGGAACAATATACAGCAATGACAGATTAAAATACTTACATGCTATACTACATTACATTAATTTCTCTCAGACTTGCACACGTACGTTCAACCAACAACATAACGGTTAACATACTGATCTGATGTTGACTTCCATACCTCAGAAGCAGTTTTGCCAATAAGGTCTATGACAGAGAGGATTACGTTCTGACGATTCAGTGGCAGATACAGCTTCTTCGCTTTAAAATCTGTAACAAATAAAGGTGAGAATAAAGAGCAGTACTCGTTTCAACCACACACACACACACGCATGCACACGCAAGCACAGACATATGCGTACGCACACACGCACACACAGGTGCGCTCGCACGCACTACTGACAACCGCAAACTGACAGCAACACCGCTAACATCTAAACTGCACCACGAAAGAAAATATGTTTCTCTGCATTCAACTCACATGCAGAAAGTTAAGCAAAAACACAAACTTCTGCTTTCACACAAATGTTAAATCTCAAGAGCTTTTGTGACCAGTAGCGGCTATGAAATCTATAATGAAACCAGATGTCAGGTGTTAACATCAACCAACTATCTTTCAAAGATTAATTAAAAAATTATGATGAATGCGAGTATGTTTCTTTCTAAGTAAGTTTTGTCTACCTGGATCGTTGTGAAAGTCAGTGAGGTTGAGGGTTTTAAGCTCAGAATTATATCGTTTGTTTAGCACCTCCTTGACCTGCTCCAAAATAGTTGGACTCAAATTCTGAGGCATTGGTGGTCCACTCGGGGTGGCCTTCACTAGCATCTGTCAAGGAAAGAGTTGTGTGCACAATAATGACGAATAAGAATAGATCATAACCTGCATTCACCTGAACAGCCATCAGATTTTATCACATGCCAACACACTTACATTTTACTGTAAATTCTGTGCATAAGGGCTACTCGAGGAAAATACCAGAATTATCCTTTATAATTTATATATGGATATATGCTTTGTAGAGCTGGCTTTACTGCATAACTGCTAATGAAGAAAAAATAGCAAGTGCTCTTTCTACATGGTTTTTCCATTCTATAGAAGTAACCATTAACTCAGCTTTGACCGTATACCAATACCATGTTCATATTTGTAAATGACTGGAGATGGGTATGAAATTTGCATGAAGTAAAATTAGCAATCTGCCTTCTTCAGTTTGTTTGCCTTGAGCGTGGCTTTGCATCGCTGAACTTCGTACCTTGAACCCACTAGGTGCTGTGACCAGTCGTGACACCTTCATGAGAGCCTCTGCTGTGTCCCAGCCCTCAACGTTAAAAATTGCCATCTTGCCATCTAACCGGAACTGAAATGAAATAAGTATATAAATATTGAAAGTTCATAGTCGGATTTCTTTTAAAACATTAATAACATCATTGTTCATGTTAAATCCTGAACAAGAACAATGATGTTATTAATAGTATATAAATACGTAGATAAATAAATAAATGTGCGTGCTTGCATGCATGTTTCCAGCCACTACATAACATCAGTGCGTCATACCTGTCAACTTACATGATTTAGGCATGAATCACTCAGACAATTGCGATTGTGCGTGATATCACGATCATGAGCATGAGAAAAGCACTATAACACAATTTTGACCAAATCCTTAGCTCTAGCTGCCTGTAGAAAATTTTATTTATCTTCATTAACTCGATGAGTACTTTTACTTAATTTAAATTGTGCTTTTTTTGTGTTGCAAATATTCGACCAAGTTGCTTGGTTTTGATATTCCAGCCATCATTGGCAGTTATGTCACCTAGTTTACAAACTAATACTAATTTTGAGTAGATAACTTCATACGTCTGTGAATGAAAACTACCATCAAGATTATTAAATTTTGACAGGTATGGTGCGTGCTATGGCAATATATTTTGCATACGAACAAGTTGGGCAAACTTTCTTGTTAGTGACTTACACTGATAGGTGTGAATGGTACAGAACACTCTGTCGTCAGCGACCGTAGTATGAAGTCTTTTCCCATTTCACGGCCATAAGGTATCTAGGTAGACAGAACACACAGTGTTAGAGTGTTGGACCTAAGGTACCTATTCATATAGAACATATAACTGTGAGATATTTACACACATTATTTCCCACAGTTTTCAAAACTATAACTTGGCCATACTTGTTTGTTTTAGCTGCTTAGCTTACATATAGTATTGCACATGCTAAACTACAAAGTATTAGCATAATGATTCTTTTCTTGTTACTCAGATATAAAAGGACAGTATTGGTCAACATACCATAATCTTATACCAGACACTTCTCTGTCTCTCATCATGTCGATCCTTGTTGTAGTTCCCACTGCCTCTTCTACCACCTCTTTGCAGGGGTAGACCTAGCCGCTCCAGAGAGTTTCGTGAGCTTCCTGCATATGCACCAAACAGGAAAATCACAGCCATTTAGGATCACACTGCATGGTAAGGTTACCTGTGTTGGTTAGATGATCTAAAACTTACACTGTGCTCATTAATAGAATCTGTGCACTCTTGATGCATTGTATTGTAAATTAAGTAAAATAATTCAATTTCGAGATCAACACAAAACATTTACAGGAGCAACAGTTTCGACAACTGATTTGATGCCTTTGCTAAGTGTACTGTTCTTGCTTGAGCTGTCACCAGCTGGTAGCAGGTGACATCATGTAAATTGGGACCTCACTATGAATAAGTAATTTAGAACACCATGCAACAGTGTAGGAAAGAAAATGGCTACAGTAGCATGCTAGGCAATTAAACATTCTTTTCTTGCTTGAAACTACACCCTCTGCAGTCTTAATATCAGCAGCCACACTTGACAACACCCCATTTCCCAGTCAAGTTTCTGTACGTACCTGCACGATCGCTCATTGTGGAAGGCGGCTGGTAGCTAGAATTGCCTCTATATCCGCCCCGGTCACCTCGCGGTCCTCCTCTATATGGTCGCCTACCTCCACCGCCGCCATAAGGGGTGCTGTAACAAACGAGAGGCTCCATTAAACAGCAATGGCTGCATGTGTATCACTAACCATGCATCTCTGTGCAAAGATCACTTCAGTCCTAGAATCACGAAATCATTAAATTAGATAAACACCACCGGTCAGAAGCAAAACAGCATGTAGAAACGAGTAACTTACTATCTGTTAAAATGCACCTGTCGTCCGGCCCCTCCCCCCATGTCGATATCTCCCTCTTCATCCACAGCATCGAGACGAGACCTGGGGGTTGGGCCACCTGTGTAAACAAAAATTGCAAAACCTTTTTGATCAAATTCTGCCATACAAGTTTTAAAAATGAATAACATCTCTCCACATGCAAGTAGTCATAATATTTCAACTGAGCATTCACATTTCCATTAATCAAAACAGTATTACAACTCCCTAGATACCATTGAGAAAGCCTGTGTCTGTAGAAGAGTTAAGCCTTACTTGGGAATTACTGTATCGTACCTAGAAGATTCTCATAGTATATTGAAATGCACATACCGCCACTTTGATTTCCATTTCCTCCTCTGCCTCTACGTCGCCCTCTGTTTCCTGCAAGACATCGACATACACGTATAAGTGTTGCTTTATCACACATCTCTAGGCTTGAAAATAGTTTGTTGCATAAGAGCGTGTTCACAATTCATAACATTTACCAGAAGTGTGCAAATCATGCTCTGCAAGCAAGGGGTCCCGAGCATAAGGTTTGTGCGCTTGCGATGTCTGCAGTTATGAATGCTTCTTATGCCAAACCATAGCCTAACACATTACTCCAATAGTTTGTTTGTATCAAGCTTTCAATTAATGAGAGTCCATAGTCAAATAATCCATGATTTACTGTCAGACTCATGCGGTATAATCCCTGATTTACTGTCAGACTCGCTGGTTTGATATGAGCAGGAGTCTACAAGACTCCCGAAAAATTCTGATACACCAGTTCGCTCCAGAGTGCAGCCTAACCGAATAACTGATTATTTTTCAGCGAATGTCTCAATAAAATCTCGCAGACAAACAGTACAATCACCCTCCAGTTTCCAAACATTGTGTAATCAACAGCGGGTGTTACAGATAGCCAGAGTGCATGTGAACAAAGTGCAATCTGCTGTATTGATTGCTGCACGCTGACTGCTTCACGTCTGTCCCGCGTAGTGATGTCGCAGGTTCAGTACATTGAAAAATGCATAGGGGTTACACGGAGAATATCTGGTGAATTCCTAGGGAAAACTCCCACTCCGCCAAAATGTAAATGAGAGGAAATGTCTGTTTACCATCCAAAACTCCCTAACTGCGCTACTCGATTAGGCCACAATTTAAAGAAATCTTTGTTTGCCCTCACCCGACCCAGGCTAAAAAGTTTGGGTAGGTAGGTAGGCTTTTTTTTGAGGGGGGTCTTTTTACAAATTCAGCACGGTGTCTACATGTGCGGCAACTGTACGTGGGCTAAAGTAGTACTACTACTACTACTACTACTAACTAGTATAGTAAGCACTAAGTAGTAGTAGCATAGTAAGTATACTAGCTAACAGTAACACTGACAGTGTCAGTGACAGTGTCATACAGATATGGAAAACAAAACTTGTGCTCTGAGCAAGGCCATTGTTATCACTCGAACAACTCTATCACATCTGCAAAAAACGCTGGCTGCCGCTGCACACTGACACATAAATATATAGGAATTCCTATATATTTACAGAGTGGCCATATGCCCGGCAGCCGGCATATATCTGACAGCTGCCGGGCACGATCTTCGATTTCCTAAATGCCCGGCAGTTTTTAATTTTCAGCGTTATCTCAATTAAACAAGGGTTAGGCAAGGCTCGACACTAGCGGTGGCCCGGTGGCCCGGGGCCACCAAAACTTGATGTCAGGCCACCAAAATTTCCAAAAGTTAAAATTTGGTGGCCCGATCGGGCCACTAAAATTTCAAACTGTCTATGTGATAAAAATAATTGTTTCTTACGTGCTAATCTCATTCAAAAGAGAGCGAGCAATTCGCGTGAGCCGAGCGGACCAAAGATCGGCACCGTGCAGCATTCCTCCGCGGGCGATACGGCGGGGACAGTTTTTATCCAGGTGTACTTGCGCGACTGCACCGACAAGCACCAGCTCTGCTTCGTGTATCAGCGCGATGCAGCTATGCCTCGGACTCTTACAGCCTCTGTTAGACCATGTACCCACGACCCTCCTGCGGGCCACGACAACCAGTCCCGGTTCACCCGGAAGCGAACCCCAGTCCTAACCGCCCCAGGACAACGGTCAAAGTCGCCGCAGGCGTGAACTATTTCCTCGCAGCCACTACATGTCGGCAATTTTACATATGTTGCATTCACAAGGATCGAACCAGCCACTATGCGTGCGCTGACGATACCCTCCCCTTGTCTGCTCACTGTAGCCTGACAATTGCAGCCCGCTTGTCGAAGGCCAAACTAATCTTTCCATGAATAATGCGCTCAGTCGAAATCTTCCGTTCCTTTCTCTTGATGATCACTTTGCTGTCTCCAAATAGCCTCTACTATGCCGGGCCAACACTGATCCTGCGGAAGGGATCGGGCTACGGGACGCCGGTATCACATGGGCAAGAATACGGGACGTTCTGGTTTCCTGATTGCTGCTAGCGACTGGTGCTCACTGTTTTCGGATCCGAAAGCGGAAACGTGCAGCGTTCGAAGTTACGGTAGAATAACTTGAATTATTCATGAGAATGATCCAGTTTTATCGAAGTGTATATTAGTGCTTCTTGTAGATGTATATATTTATGCATTTTTCTTCTGTTTTCTCTTTACGAATCCGATTATTGAAATTAGTGCTTTAGACGATGGCTGCTTTTTTTTTTCCAAATGAATGACGTACCGGCTACTTTTGTGATATATTTGGTTCTCTTGTATTTTTAAAATCTGCGATTATTTTTTTTTTTTCCGTTTCAGCCTGGCAGACTTTTAACTTTCGATTGAGTTAAATGTATGATGTTTTTTTTAACATGAAAGCCTATGTTGTTGTTTTATTACAGTTATTGTTTTAATATTTGCATGCTTCTGTGACTTTGAACTCTCTTGACGGTTGAAATGGTGATCGATAGGATTGTGCCAACGCGCCTGTGTTTTAGATAAATATATGAGTAAATAAGTAGAAAAATGGTATGCACGAGTCTTTGAAATATTTGATGACCATGGAATGGATAATTCAATGTTATGCATCAATTCTCTGTCAGTGTGTGCCATTGTGTCGGCGGTTTGATATTAAGCTTGGTGCCGATGATAGACGGCAAATTTTCAATATTTACAATCAGAGTTGAATAGATTATAGAATGGTTTTCGTTTTGTTGTTTTTTTCGGGCCACCAGAATTTCATTTTCGGGCCACCCAAAATTGAAAATCAATGATTTTTGGGTGGGCCGTCGGGCGCACTGAAAAAAGTTAGTGTCGGCTTGGGTTAGGTTGATAGGTTTGGTTTAGGGAATGTCTGGGTAATTTTAGCGAAATGGAAGCCGTGCCGGTGCGGGACACTAATAGTTAGCCACAGCAAGGCACTTGGCGTCAATAAAAAATAATGGTAAATAACGATTGTTTACAAGTCTCCCCAAATGTTTCTCCTACCCTATTGTTGTGCTATATCTTAATTCAATACACACCGCTGGACACTCGGACCAATGCTGGGGGTCCACTCGCACCAGATGTATCCTCGGTGCATCATCCACGAGCCGTCCGACAGCCGGACCAGTGACGCTTGCTCCGGTCACGATCTGCACGACGACCGGCGACAGGTTCAGGCAAAAACGCTGCCTGGCCAGAGCATTCGGGGTTATGATATAACAAATAGTGTTTATTTGTTGACGATCATTAACTTATTAACTTGTTGGCATCTAACTTTTACTTGTTAATTCTAACGTCTAATTTCGCACTATTGAAGTGCTCTTAATCATCATTGAGTTTCCATAAGTATGTAAGAGATCATCTTGGAGATTTGTTTGCTTTCGTTTCATGTGTTATTTTAATCAGTAGTATTTGGCGACCTTCTTCTTAAATCGAAATTCCAAAGACTTGGGGAGTAGGACAATAATTACACAGTGTAAACTCTTCTTGTCATTGTTTCAGATTTGAGTCCCATCATTTTGTATTGTATTCCAAGTTTCATCATGATAATGAATGAATTCTCCAAAATGGCTGCGTTCCATATTATAATCACTGTAAATGCCCCAGTCATTGTATTCTGCCCACACACAGCAGAGACCAGTAACGCACGCGTCGTCCTGTGCTGCGTGCAAACAATCATGAATAAAGGAAGCAGGGTAGAGAAGCGGCGATTCGACACTTTGTTTCGCGCTACTTATTCTCACCGCGATCACAGAACGGAAAAACATCCAAGCCGCTTCCATTTGGGTATATTGTGTTACAATAATGTTCACTTGTCTTGAATATATAATTTGGCCTTTGTTGTCTTACTACTCCGCCAGATTATATTCTGTGAATCTGAGTGAACTGTTCTCTCCCGTGATGTAAAGAGGAGTATCCATCAAATCCTAACGGCCGTAACTTCATGATTGCTGTGTTCGTGTGTGAGTTGACGTATGCGCGCGGGATCGTGCTTGGTTGGATGGCCTCCCCCGAAACGGAAGCCGAGGCCGGCCCGCGCTCATCGGCGTGCAATTGCGCCCCTTCTTTACTCGGCTGTATAAACGGACTTATGGATACGGATGATCGTCATCTTTACATTTCCACGATAAAACATAACTGTCTCTGTATCGTAACGAGCTGTGTCACCTGCAAATACACAAACTGTGACGAATTCTCGTGTTTGTCGCGCCGAACCTTAGCCGTGATGTAATGGGCTGTCAGAAAGAATCAACGGAAACTCGCGGCGCTGCTTCGTGGGACCTATTCTTGGCGGCGCGCAGCGGGCCTGCAGTTTTCTGCAGAGTTCAATGGCGAGGTTTCTTCTACGGAGTTGGAGAAGCAGGTTATTGCGCCGCTATAGTGCCAGGTTGATTGGCACTCTGCTCCAGCTCTCGGCTGTAGCTTTAGTCACGTCGTATGGGTATCGAGGTGGGAGTGGTCCTGTCTATTGCCGCTTTGAGCCATTTAAGTTACGGGGCAAGGTGGTGTCTGCGAACGTGAATTTGTCAGTCTTTGTGTGATTATCGCATGCACAGGCTCTGGTTCGAACAGAGGCAGTATGTTTTACGTATAACAAAACGTGTAACATTGTTTATTAGAAACAAAGAATTGCAGCTGTTGTATGTGTTTCGCATATAATTGTCGGCAATCAATAGGTTGAAAAGAGTTATTAGAAATTAATACTTTGAGTAGTAATAAATGCGTATTTTGATTTAGCATTCTTGTCATGATTCAATATAAATGCCGCAGGCGCGGCTCATTCTAAGTCTAATGGGGTACTTTGTTGGTGGAGTAGGTGGGATTTTAGTAAACCTGTTAGTCAGAATGTGTTACTACGTCCCGAAACCGTGATGCACAGGGATGGGTATCAGTTAACCCGTTTCTCAAAAGATGTTCGGTTGGATCGTTATGAAAGTTGCACGATGATGGACGGTCGTTTAAGTGTCTCTCGTATTTAAGATGGAGCTGTCCATACTATCGTGTCAAAGTATCTGCAATGACAGAGATAGGTAAGCACTCATCATTTACCCTTCGCAGCTACAGTTTGATTAGCGAGCTGCCCCTGTAACCAATTAACGAGGCTCGAAAATCCCTACAGACCAAAGCATGCGCTGGCGTAGCCCTGGCGTGGTACGATTACTGTTATGGACGCTAGAATGCCATAGATATGATGTTAGGAATACCCGTGTGCGTTTAACCAATTTGGTTGTTGAAATGTTGCCTGGTGAATTGTAGGGCTTCATCATCCAGCATGTATAGATTCTTACTAGCAACTGGCCAGTCATTCTTTTAGCAGAAGTCAAAAAATCCCATGTTTACCTCCTCTTGAGGGTCAAAAGGGTATATCTGACATTATCTTCGCATGTAGTCAGAAGTAGAGTTTTCATGGTCTCTTCGTATATGCCATAAAAATGCGTAGGTACCGCTGTTGAAACAAAGTTCTTTCAATCGCTCCGTCGACCATTGTTCGTAGAATATGTCTAAATCTCGCCATGTGGCATTGGGACCTTTGACCGTGTGAACCTCCAATTTCGGCACAGTTGATGGCTTTTGCCTACATGTGCTACGTTACACGACTATGACGAGCTACGCGCTCGAGGCGTCTTAGATTTGTGCCGCAATTTGCATTTCCTCCCTTATACTTATAGTTAAGGAGTGAATGTTCACCTTCTTTTACACCTCTTGACCTTTGACCTTTGACCCCCAGCTTCGACATCCCAACTCGTTTTCGGATTACCCCCCCACGTCCCGAATATCGTGACCGTACGTCGAGCGGTTAAGATTTGTGCCCAACTGTTGACGGACGGACGCACGGACGATCATGCGATTCTACAAGCTGCATCAGATGAGCTAAAAATTATAATTTATAATTTATATTTTAATTTTTATTGAAACGCTCAAAGTGCATGTGGCTGTGGATTACACACCGAGTTTGAAGCAAATTTGGGACATTCCGATGGATGGATATAGATAAAAATATAACAGGAACATAACTTGTTACTATATGCTTACCATAAAAGTTTCGATCACCATCACGATTAGTAGTTATTTGATATGACATTTTCCAAACTTCAACTAAAAATTATTGTGAAAATGCCTGAACTAAAATTTTACCGCTAGGTGGCGCACGGCAACCGCGCCACCTTGCGTTACTATTTTGAACTAAGATAACTCAAATTATGATTCATCATTCATTTTTCGTGTTTAATTTACGTTACAATTACGATCGTATAGCTAGGATTCAATGAGTTTTAAATACTTATTATAATTTATTAATTACATATTCGTAGCTTGTATGTTTGGCTTACCCATAGGCCTTACCATAGCACGGTAAGTTAACTATACAACAGCTTGTTGAAACTGTCCAGTGTCCATTGTAAACACTGACTAAACAGTGACAGACGCAGTCACACAGTTATGTATTGTGCAAATATGTATTTGTACTCAATTATATCGGCCTAAACCCCGCGGTTACTCTGACTGTATTTACGTATTACTATTACAATGAAAAACCATTTTACATTGGCGACCATACTAAGATAAAAAGGGGTAGTGTGGTACTGGTACACCATGTTCATAACCTACTTCACAACTAATTATCTATGCCTATGGTATGGCCATGGGCCGGCTATGCCATGGCACATTCCAACTACTGAGTATTGTATCATGGAACAGTACAGTAGGTACTGTATCATGTATGCTGCATCTCCTGCAGTACTCACTCGAGTCACTCACTCACTGTACAGTAGTACAGACTGTGTACTGCCAGTAGAGTAAAGTGTGGCCCATACTTTGTATTGTCTCGCAAAAACTTCACATCTATGCACAAATTGTTGAGAGGTTTTGCCCACCGTTTTTTCTGACCAACACAGCGTACACCATATCCCCTATATTACAGGGTAGAAATTAACTTTTGAACAAGGGAGTCCAAAGGACTCCCTGCCCTCAGAAAGAGGAGTCCGCAGCAAATTTAGGGAGTCCGTAGTCTGAAGTTCAAAATTATAGATATTAACACATACATGTGCTTATTTTAAAGACACATGCAGTTGCACGTCTGCCAAATTTTCTTTGGACATTAGCTGAACAAAATACGATAATTCTGTGAGGCCGTGCTCTGGAACAAACTAGTTAGTGTAGCAGTATTTTCAGGGAGTCACAGGGACTCCTGCATATGTCAAATCGGGGAGTCCGACAGTAAATTAGGGCGTATTTGACTCTGGCCTCGCGTTAATTTCGCACCCTGATATATTATAATTAGATATAGTGGTGTTATGGTGGAAAACTCTAGCTTGTGCCTAGGTTTTAGTTAATGTATAAAAATACCATGTTTGTGCATTTTTGATGCAACTATTTTACTCTATCATTAAATGACCTGCCACTTCTGCAGGAAATTAAGTTTGCCAGAAGTCAACATGTGACATAGTATATTAATTGAGCACATTAATGTGAGCCATAAGATGGATGAGTTGAGGTGCATATTGCATTACTGCACACAGTGTCATCTACCTTTGTAACAATTTCAAATGTAACAAGCCAATTTATCTGGAGGATATGCTATATACCAGTACATCATAAGACATAGCAGTGTGTGCTGATGGTGTATCCCCTGAACAGTCGGGATGTGCTTACTGCTGGGAATGTCAAATTTATGAATTTCGGTAGAATTGCTGCGTCACATTACTACTGCAGCATTATTTGTTGGTTATTGGTGAAAGGTGCGATCATAACACTGCACCCGCAGGATTTGGCTTGTTCCTTGGTTAGAATTGCAGCAAGCATCATCAGGAGTGAGCAAGAGAAGATTGCTGTCAGAAGTTGCTTTTGGAGGAGGGATGGTCGTTATGATACATATAAGCAACCCAAAGGGAAACTATAGCGAAGAAACAAATTGCTCCCTCCCTAGTGTCCCATTCCTCTCTCCCTTCCTCTCCCTAGCTCCCTCCCACCCATTCTCTGCATCACCCTCTCACTTTATATCTGTCTCTCGCTACTTATCTTTCTCTCACCAAACCTCGCTCTCCACCCTCTCTCTTTGCCTGTATTCCTTTTTCTTCTATCTTGCTTCCTCTCCATTGTGGAAATACTACATTTATCATTATGTAAGATCATTTACCAGTCCATTTTTATCAGTAATATGTCAATAGGATTTATGTAAATTTCTGATAGCGTGTGCATTTGTACTATATAAGTATAGTATATAGTGTATATATATATAGTATATAGTATATATATATATAGTATATCAGGGCTCGAATTAACCGACGGCACCGACGGCAATTGCCGCCGGTGCCCCTATCAATCGCCGTACTGCCCCTTGAAAATCCAACCCGACCGACGGCAGTCGCCTGCCTTGCCCTTTTCTGTAATTGCCGTCGGTGCCTCTGGCTAGACTGGTTCGCGGCCGCACTGTTTGTCGCAGAGCGTGTACATTGTCTAGCAGAGCTCGTCTACTGCGGCTGCAACAAGCCACGTTATTGTGTTAGACTGGTATCCGGCCTCACGCTCTGCTAGACAATGTACACGCTCTGCGACGAACAGTTCGGCCGCGAACCAGTCTAGCCAGAGGTCAAAATCAGAGCAGGCGCATATTTGCCAGCATACATGTGATTACATTGTATCAAGCGAACCAGACTATGCGTCTAGACAATACGCCTGTCTGCAGTGTACTGAATGAGAGTTTCGAAGGCAAACAATTGTCATAATAAAAAAATGATGAAATTTCTTCCTTTTTTGATGTATTTTGTTCAAAATATTAAATATACGGGACACACATGCATCCCGGGAAGGGTCGGTACGGGACGCGGGACACATGGGCAAAATACGGGACGTCTGGTCACCCTGATTGCTAGCTAGCTGCACTGGTGCTCACTGTTTCGGATCCGAAGCGAAACTGCCAGCGTTCGAAAGTTCGCGTAGAATAACTGAACTATTCCATGAAGATGATCAGTATTTTAATCCGAAGTGTAATATTAGTGCTTTGTAAGTTTATTTATGCATTTTCTCTGTCTCTTTTAACTTTACGCAACGAAATATTGAACTTAGTCTTAGACATGGCTGCTTTTTCTTTTTAAATGCATGCGTACCCAGGCTACTTTGTTGATATAATTATGGTTCTACTTTATCTTATTAAATCTGCAATATTTTTTTTTTACAGTTTCAAAGCCTGCCAGACATTTTAACTTTCATGAGATTAAATGTATATGTTTTATTTTAACATGAAAAGCCAATGTGTTGTTGTTTTATTACAGTTACTTGTTTTAATATTTGCATGCTCTGTGACTTTGAACTTCTTGAACGTCTGAACTGATCGATAGCATGTGCACGCGCGTGTTTAGATAAATAATGAGTGAAAGTAGAAAAATGGTATGCAAGAGTCTGGTGAAAATTTGATGCCATGGAATGGATAATTCAAATGTATGCCTCAATCATCAATGTCAGTGTGTGCCATTGTGTGGGGTTTGTTTAAAGACTTGTGCAAGTGCATCAGACGGCCAAATTTTCAAATAATATACAATACGAGATTGAAATAAAGATTTATAATGTTTTTCTTTGTTGTTTTTTCGGGCCACCAGATTTCATTTTCGGGCCACCAAAAATTGAAAATCAATGATTTTGGTGGCCCGATCGGGCCACTGAAAAAAAAAGTTAGTGTCGAGCCTTGGGTTAGGGTTAGGGTTAGGGTTAGGAACTGCTGGGCATTTAGGAAATCGAAGACCGTGCCCGGCTGCCGGGCATATATATAGCCACAGCCACAGGCACTTGGAACGTCTCAATAAAAAAAATAATGGTAAATAAACACGAAATGTACCAAAGTCTCAATGTTTCTCTACTCTATTTTGCCTATAATCACCTGTAAATGCCAGTCAAATGCTCATCTGCAACACACAAGCAGAGACACAAGTACACCGCACGCCCGCCCTGTGCTGCGTGCACAAACAACATGAATAAGAGAGCAGGTAAGAAAGCGGGATCGAAAAATTTGTTCGACGCTCGCTTCATTTCACACGATCACAGAACGAAAACACATCCAACCGCTTCCATCTTGGTATCTATGTGTACATAAATGTTCACTTGTTCGAATTATAACTTTGGCCTTTGTTCTTACCTACTCCCGCCAGATATATCTCGTGAAATCCTGCAGGAAATGTTCTCTCCGTGAAAATGTAAAGAGGACGTATCATCCGAAAATCCCTAACGGCGCTACTTTCGATCGATTGCTGTAGTCGTGTGTGCGTGACGTCATGCCCGCGCGCATCGTGCTTGGCTTGGCATGCCTCGAAACGGAGCCCGGAGGCCGGCAGCAGCTCATCCCGGCATGCAATGCGCCCCATTACTCGTGTATAAACAGAGTATATGGATACGGATGATACGTCCTCTTTACATTTCCACGAAAAACATACTGTCTCTGTTCGTAACCGAGCTGTGTCACGCGAAATCACACAAAGACTGACGAAATTCTCGCGTTCGCGAACCTTAGCCCGTAATGTAAATGGCTGTCAGAATCAGGAAACACCTACCGGCGCTCTTCGTGACCTCATTCTTGCGCCGCAACGCTGCAACGTTTTTGCAACGTTCCAATGGCGAGGTTCTACGGGAGTTGGAAAGCAGTGCGCCGCCTATAGTCCATAGATTGGCACTCGCTCCCACCTCTCGGCTTAGCTTAGTCACTCGATGGGTAATCGAGGTGGGAGTGAGTCCCAGTCTATATAGCCCCGATTCTGACAGCCATTTACATTACGGGGCAAGGTTCGCGAACGTGAGAATTTTGTCAGTCTTTGTGTGATTTCGCATGACACAGCTCGGTTACGAACAGAGACAGTATGTTTTTATAACAAGTGAACACTGTTCTTAACATAGAAACAAAGATGGCAGCTGTTGTATGTGTATTCGGCAATAATAATTGTCGGCAATAATAGGTGAAAAAGAGTATAGAAACATTAATACTTTGGTAGTAAATAAATTTCGTATTTATTTAGCATTCAATGTCAATGATTCAATATAACAAGTGCCGCAGAGCGACAGCGCTCATCTAACGTCTACTGCGGTGACTCTGTGGTGGAGTGGTG